GGTCGATAGATTCTACGTTTTATCGTCATTCCAGGAGCTATCGCAAAGGGGTTTATGAAGCATTCCACAAAATAAGTAAGCGAACCATACATAGATTATTCATTGAAGCTTCATCCCATTGCTGTAAGGGCACGATGTGATACATTCGGATCTTTTAATGAAAATGCCAAGATAGTAGACGTTAAGAAGTTAAGAATTCACATATGCCAACGTCACTACATCCTATTGATCACGATGTTTATCCCCTGTAGTGAATCGTAGAACGTTACATCCCGTGAGACTGGAATCTAGAAGCAGGGCAATGACGACTTGTTTGCACTACGGTCTTTGACTCTTTGGTAGTCATGCGGTCACACTAGCTGATACTCGGGCAGGAAGAGGTTGGATAAACATGTTGTATTACAAATTACAAGTAGGGTCGGAGTACATATGGTCCAAAAGGTGAAGAAATAGATATATGCTTCTCACAAGCTGATGGGGTCGCAGCCAACGCTGATCTATAATAGATGCTCAGTAAATGACCTATTTCTCCTGTTGAAAAAATCGTCTTATTAAGCCAGGGAAGTTCTGCTCGCAGCAAACGGGCTGTTGGGCGCTGAAAGGAAGAAGATGAGTATCTATGAACTAACATCATTGGGAAATGTGCTACTAACCAGTTAACACCTTGACCAGTACCGATGACAGTGACAGGATTGCATCCCAAGCCGAGCAACACGTCGACACCCTGGACTACAGCGCTAACGAGACCGAGGAACTTGGTAGCGTTGAGGTCAGAGGTGGCAAGGGAGTCGCAGCACTGAGCGAGGCCAGTGGTGCAAGAGACCGAATCACTGAAAGCAACATTAGATACAGAAGAGCATTTTCATCCACTATCACCTACGTCGGGGCGGGTCGCGGCAAGGGTAGCAGAGACAGAGACGAAGAGGAGGACGGCTTTGAATTGCACTGTACTGCTTTGAAGCTCTACTAGTTGTTGTTGAACTGGGGAACTCACAACACTTAGATACAACCTTTATGCCTTTTCCTGCGATGTTTATACATCAGCACTGACACGTTGAAGGGATTGGCTATATTCCATAACTCAGGGGTCAAGATGTAAAATGTGGAATTCAAAGACTGAACAAAGAATCTTCGTGATTTCCTCTGCTGTACTAGCTAGATTACGAACAATGGCATATCTAAAGGATAGTGAATGACTTGTGGGAGTGGGCCAATGTGCAGCGTGACAGAGTCTGATCACCCAAGTAAAATAAAAATAAATAAACAAATCCCAGAGAATGTAGTAGCAAAGCAAATAATAATAGTCATATGAGGTAAATTGTGTGTATGGATGGTTAGTGTAGACCGATGCTCATGTGTGGAATTGTGCATGTGTGCATGGATATTGTGGGTGAGATGGAAGAGAGAGAGAGAGAAAGAGAGAGAGAGAATGAAGTCTAGGATGGACATATCAACAGATTAAGTATTAAGTATTAAGTATTAAGTATATCTCAACCTCAGGTCATCAATGACTGTGCACTTGAGAACAGCCTCTTCGAATACTATACTTTGTCAAGTCATCATATTAAAGCTCAACCATGAGCCAGGTTTACAAGAAACCTGTGCCTCTGAGTAAGAACATGCAACAATTATATTACATTCTATGATAACGAAATACATTCATAAAACATATAACATAACAATCTAATAGAATAGATTGAAGACTACAGTAAGTTAAAGGAGCGGCTCATAGGGCAGGTGGTGGGAGCCAGGGGAATGAACCTTGAACTATTGGGGGGAAGGATGCATGCATAACAACATAATATATGTGCACATAAGCAGTTGCAACCAAAGAAAGAGCGTGAAGGATATGGAATGATAGCAGCAACAACTCCATCTAGCTTGAGCACAATGGAGCTCAAAACTGGGCACCAATGTAACTGCAGTGGAACCACAATTGGTCATACAGTGATGTTGGATGCAAGAGGTAAGATGTTGGCTAAGACAGCAGGCATTAGGTGAGCCTATACAGAGAGGAAATGAGTAAATTAGGAAGTAGAGGGTGCACTACACACACCCAAGCATTCCTAAGCTTTCAAGCTTCAACATCTACATTAATCTAACCCCATACTTCTGTCCTACAATCCATGTCTGGAAAAAGAGGTGAGTATGATTCATCATGAACTCAGAGTCGAAGACAGGTCAAAGGGAACCTATGGTGGGCTGGGGTGCATGCAATCTGCAGTGATGGAAGGACTAAGTAATGATTAATTGGTGGAGAATGGAGATCTTTGAGTGTAGTAAGTGGAGTGATTAGAAACAATGTTCTAAGCAGCTGTTGATGTTGAGACTGGTATTAGTGACACAGTGGCAGACATTATGGATATTATTTGATATATCACACACAAATAAAGAGAAACCATTCACCTTTCGCATAAATAACTCCTTCAGAACTCCATTGTTCTGGAGTTTGCTGCTGCAGTGGATGCATGGTTGGAATTGACGAATATGTGACTGATACTACAATACTGTCAAAATACATGTGCATATGGCGGTGAAAACACAGGAGATGGTAAAAATGCTGAGGAAGGAGAAGGCACACCCTACCAACATCACTCAAGTTTGAAAATACAACAATATACCCACAACTTCAAAATCCATCAATAGTGCACCCAGCCTGTACTAATATGATAGAAATATCTGCAAAAAAAGCATGCATAGGGATGGACTTAAAAAAAAACTCTTAATCTGAAAATCTAGATGGTTTGGGGTACACTACATTGATATATTACATTAGTTTGTGAGCACCAACCGGTTGGCAGCTTAGCAAGTAAGGCACAGTGCAAAATCGTATTAAAAATGTGATGTGCAGGATACTTGAACAAACTGTGGAAAAAAAAAACAGAATTTCTGAGAGAGGGTTAATGTTAATGAAAAGGACTGATTACTTTTCCTTCATACCTCAGGGTAATTAGAATAGTAATATGCATCATTTTTTTTAATGTCCTGCCTGTCAGAGCTGAATATCAATAATGTGGTTTCTACACTTGCAGTTAGCGATGACCTCCTTCCCCTGGTATAATTATAGGAAGACAAGAATTGGCCTTGCAGTGACTAGTACATTCAGCTACATTCCAGCTACTAATAATGGGCACAGAAACACATGCAGTCTAGGGTTAGTTCGAGATCATCTTTTGTATCCCGTTATGTTTCCATCCTGTATTCAGATAAGTCTAAAGCTAGTGTCATTAATACTTCATTTCTATCTAAGTTAACTTCTAACTAATAATATCTCCAATACTTATAATTAGTGTTGCCGCTAGTCTGGGCCAATTCGGATTAAACTGCGAACCGGACCAATAATAGACTGACCGAACCGAACCATTTAATAATTGGTCCTGTCGGTTTGGTTTTATTTATAAACCGGTCCCAACCCGTCTAGCCCATTGGAACCAGTCCCTACTATAGATAGCAGGAGCGTGAAAGTAGTGAGTTGTGTCACATGCTCTCAGGATTGTCACATTTCCTCAACGTTGTGTCAACAAGTCAATTCCTTCAGAAAACAGGACCCTACTTCAGCTGTTTGAGCTCTGTAATCACTTATATACAGTCAAGGCATGATCCTTGTCCCAGCACTATGAAATTGGGCTCTCAAATATTTTCTTTGAAAGTCTTCAATGAAATGTTTTGATGTTTAATACTGTACATATCAAAGTATGTTACATAAAAAAATTGTATGATTTCACCAGCGTTTGGAGGTACTGGCTTGGGAGAGAGAGTTGCTGTCACAAAATGTGACACAAACCACTCCTTGTCCCAACACCCAACTGGCCTATCCTTGTCTTTAATATACATTAGTAGCAGTAATTAAATTATCAATTAATCATATATGACATACTGTAAAATATTATCATCAATATACATAGAATTATAAGACTGTAGTATGTGTGCATGTGTGCATGTTGTATGGTAGTGTCACACTATCATCACCTACCATCGGAAATTGATCATCCCACACTTGAATACCATTCAATGTTATATTTTCTTGGCGGGATCTTCCATTTACAGTGTTATAGACTTATTGTGTAAGATAAATTGAAAATATTTGAGTGATTTAATGAGGCTAAAGAGTCAAAATATTTACGGTTTGCCCAGAATATGCTCAATATCTCCCAGATAATGTGTTATATCTTAGGCAGCAGTAGCTCAATTCTCCTCTTTTTTTTCATATTATAGTATAGATTATGATCATATTATTCAGATAAAAAAATGACATAAAGTATGGAGAATGAGGCTCTAGGATACCCTGGAACAAGGAGTGGGCCTGGGATGAGGACCGTGCCTTGACTGTATAGTATAGAACTTATTCCCTCCCTTATCTGACGGATTTATGAAGGGATGTGTGGAAAAGCACAAAATACCCTCTGGGACTACGGTCCAGCGGGCTGAAACCGGTTTAGAGCCCGGGCGGACCACTAGTAAACGGTCACGGTCTCGAACCATTGCTATTTTAAACCGGACCGTCGGTTTCGGTTCAGTTCGGAACCAAAACCGGACTTCGGCAACACTAGTTATAATCATGTATTTCCAGGAAGATCCTCCAACTAATTTTCGAGATCTCAATTGGGAGTCACTGTTGGACAATGTTACGCCAATGAAATATATATGAGGTATTAGAGTCTGTGGTATCATCAGAAACATCGTAAAACTTGGTGAAAGCAAAGTGCAAAAAAGAGGTCTTACCCGGATTCGAACCGGGGTCACGAGAAACCGAAGTTATCAAAATCTCGGGGGCTAACCGCTACCCCATAAAACCTTGATTAACAATGCAGATAGAACGGGTCACGTCTGAGACGGATAAACTAAGGGAGATACGGACAGGTGAATTTGACATGTGACTTTATTCAGATGCTTAGCTGTTGTGACTCTAAAGGGAAAAACATATATTATTTCACCTAGCCAAGCAGGAAAGAAAGAACAATGACAACACAAAATGTGGGCAAGATGAAGCCAAAAAGGCAAGGTCGTACCCGGATTCGAACCGGGGTCATGAGAATATTGAACTTGTTACCTGTCGCTATGAATCGGGAACAATTGTTCAGAATCTCATGGGCTAACCACTACCCCATACAACCATTGACATTGAGGCAAAACCTTGTAAGTACTATGCTAGACCTGATTTAAATATTTCAGAATGAATGTCTCGTTTCCTGGATATTTATTGCGATGACAATTCGCAAATCAAAAGTGCCGCCAAAATGCTATTAAGGAAGCTTTTATAACTAATCCGCTAGGATGCAACAAATACTGTATTCTATTCCATCTAACGAGATGAAAAAAAGAAAGTAGTCAAAAAACCTAGCCTCACGCGGGGGTCGAACCCGCAACCTTGAGATATTGCTATGACAAATTCGTCTATGCGTAAAAGTCTCACGCTCTACCGATTGAGCTAGCAAGGCGCTATACATTGTCTGCCCGATGTGCTACCGCTGCGGCCGAGCGATGCAGAAGCCATGTTTGAAACATTTCTTTATTGCCCATTTACATTTCAACAGCCATTCAATTTATATTTTATCCATTTCTCATCCTAATGGATCTATCAAGAAAATATTCCCAACATGTACTCTCAGGAGGATCCTCCTGCTGCCACTGAAAGCCTCGGCATTCAAGGACTCGAGGTTGCGTTGCCTGGCAGTGAAGACCTTCCCCTCGAGCCACAACTTTAAGCAGATTGGGCTTAAAGCTTTGGCAAACTGGACTGTCCAAACTAAGATGTGTCTGTGTTTTTGTAGAGCAAGCTAAATAATTGCTGGGACATCGTGTAAATAGTAATTGATGGTCAAGCGTTGAAGATTTGTAATGCCTTGATAACTATGCCAAAAGATTCCTAGTTCCAGTTCAAGTGGTCATCTGAATTAGGGGACCGATCTAAGTCGTTCCTGATCAGCACTTCCTGAAGCTCCCGCATCCACAGTAGGTCAGCCTTAGGTGGCAGGGAAAAGCACCACCTTAACAGGAGGGCAGTCCCTGGTGGTACGCTTGGCGAGTTGCCGAGTATAGCACTACGACAGGTCGAAGTTCACAGATGATGTTATAATAAAAATAATCGATTATACAGGAAATACATATACAGAAGTGGGTCTCTAATTGGTCGCTTGCAAATAGGTATAATACAGTGCTTCAACAAGTAGGTATGTAGTCCAATAGGTTCTAAATGATTATGAGTTGAGACCATAATGCTGCGAAAATAATAATATATCAGCAATCAATATAGGCATCATAATTAATGCACCTTACCTCGTACTTAGATGGAGTTTTGTTTATTGGGTCTGTTCTAACTTCTAATTGCATGATTGTCCACTGGGTTGACCACAACCATCACTCTACCACTCGTGGTCAGATGAATAACACAGGGAAAGTGTATGCGTTGACGTACTGTTTGCCTGAGAGCAAGATCTACAGCTGGGTAGGGTCGAGCTTCAGTAGATGCCAATAATGTGGCACAGACGGCGGTGGAAATGAAAGCAGAGGTGAAACGCATGTTTAGTACTTAAGTTGTTTAGAGGAGGGTCTGTTAGAGAAGTGGATTTGAGTGCAGTAGGCTTTCTGTGTCAGATGCCGTTAATCAGCCAAGCAGTCCGACTTTATATGCCTTGCCGGAGAGACTGATTATCGCCCATTGACGTCAGACACAACCCTATCGGTAATACGTTGACTGAAGTCCGAGTGATCAAAGTCGTTTGAAGAGGTGTAAATGTCGCTAGGGTCTAGAAACGGGGCAATTCGGATTGACAATCTAAAGAATATCTATGGCACCTGCCGGGGTGCCGATTTAGAGCCGCGGGACAACAGGCCAATATGCGAGCGTTTCCTGTCAACCATACTGATCATCGAGGCAATTCCTGATGATCCTCCATTTCAAATTTAGCACTTGATGAAGCCGATGGTTTCCGCTCCTCACAAAGCATTTACTTTCTTTGCAACGGAGACGGCGATAGCGGGAGAGGACGGAGACAGGACATCCGGAGCTAGGTGTTTTGATGTTGGAAAAGTGACCAGGTAGCATTACACATGGTTGGGATCAACCCTGTGGACTTAATCAGTACTGCATTCTATTAGTGTACTTCGCCATTTCCTCTTCATCGAGTAACATTGTAATTATAATTAATTTGGTCACTTGCGTTCGAGAGACATTTATAATCAAGTCATTCCAAAAGGCTGTAATATTAGTTATAATACATTGGTGGTACGTTCAGCTTCGTTTGACCGGCGTAGCTTAAAGTGGATGATGTTGTCAATTGTCCTAATGCAGACAACTTCGTTGTTGATGCAGATGTTGCAGACGCAATGCAGACGGAACTGTTCGGGTTACGGCAACTTATGTCAGGACTAAGCCGCTGAAGTCGTTGGGCGCCAAGCGTGCTCGAGGTATGTCAGGGACTCAGAGTATGTTTAATAATTCTTTCTTTAGGCAATCCGAGTGCCAGAGTTGATCCGCATCGGTCAAGGTATACCAATCGTTTAAATCCCTTTCCTCTTTCTCCATTATCATTGATGTGGCGTTTCGCCAAAGGAGGCCAGCCACCAAGGGGTTTGTTTGTACTACATAACTACTAATGATTTTGGTTGAAAGTAAGCTTAATTTGGTGTGTTCCTCCTATCTATTTGATAAAGTATATTTAACACGTGTCTGTATCAGCATGCCAGAAGGATCAGCGTGGTGTCTGTCTGATGAGTTGGCGGGGACTCGGAAGTAAGTGTTTTTTTTTTTTTTGCAAAGTCATAGCCTTCAGGTGATCAACATATTTCTCCCGGGACTTTACATATTGATATGATACCTGCAGGGAGAACCGGAAGATTTATTAAGTTTATTTATCAAACACCGATCATCGAGTTCGAGGTACTAGTATCCCGAGCCACTAGTATTGCTTCGAATTTGGTCACTCACCAAAATATTCGAGAGCGGCTTAATTCCGAATTACGAAGGCATCTTTTTATTGGATTTACGTCCCCAGAGGGAACCTGCCAAGCACAGTATCTATCGTACCCTGAAGGGAGACTTTGCACACATCTCTACTAGTAGACGCCTTAATTGTTACTAAACATCCACTCACATAAAAAGTCCGAAAGGCATGAGAAATTATCTTGTCAATAGGCTGCCAATAGTATATCAAGCTTCATCCTTCAGGCGGGTCCTCCAGCTTGACCGGCGGATTAGGTTCGACCTTCCCTTGCGCAATAAATCACAGGGTTTCTGACATTAATTTTTTGTTATTTTTGGCAACAGAACAAAGTCGATGCCTGCTCATCCAGAGAAATACGGATCTTTAAAGCTATGATACCCAGCCAACGGTGTTCTCCGGAGATCTACTGCGTTAGCAGCCGCCCTCGGTGTATTTCTCACATACCCTGCGCAAGCTACAATTAAAACCATCAGCTCATCGGCCTCAGATTTCTCACAGTTTTTTGACATTTCTGACAGCCTACTAGGACACTTTTCAGGGATGAGCTTTGTGCCGAGGAGTTCCGACTCGGAAGAGACGCTTCTGCAGTGAGGTCATCCATTTTCCATCTCAAGTTTACCTGAAATACTCCTTCCGTTTACCTATCACTGTGGACTATTCAAGTTTTTTGTCTTGCTACAATTTGAGATAACTCAAACTTTCCATGAGAGAATTATCCCCCGCTTCACACCTTTCCTAAAATTTCTTGAGCCGCCGCATATCTCAGATAGCCTGGTACATCTACTCTACAAAGTAATAAACTTTATTACGCCAATAAGCCAAGGTGCAGAATGAAAACTCTCAACGTCGTCATAAGTCACAGCCATGATGGTGAATGCAAAAGTCCCCTTCAAGTTCACGACGAATGTGACTGTCTGGGGCCTAAGGCCCTAAACCTCTCATTTTTATTTTATGTTATTTTCATTCGTCTATTACTGCGGCACGAACCACATAAATTTACTTGCAGTATCTATTTAGCTCGTGCGAAAAATTAGAGCACTCTGAAAGTACTGACATACGACACTCACCGTATAAGCCCAAGTCTGACGCTCAGGTTGACCCTACGTTAGCACAACTCCTTCTGTCCTCTCCGATGCTCCCGTTGACTTCCGAGTCAACTTTTCCACTGTCCCGATTCCGGAAATGCGCTTGATATGAAGCTCGTTTGTCTTTCCGCTCCGATCATTTTACGAAGTGAGTTCATCTATTCTTGAGGAGAAGCTTATTTAGCTTGCTCACAGTCACCGCTTCTCAGTCGGCACAATGACAGGCGATCTGTCCCTTCTAAACTGAGCAGCTTACTCCCTAAGACTGGCAGTCCGAATTGCCCCGTTCTAAGGTCTAGGAACGGTATATGTCTCGAAAGGTCGAAGCAACTTTCCATCTTTAGCCCAAAAAGGGTTTGGGCGTAGGTCAATGGGCAATCATCACCTCTCTTCAAGGTATATAAAGTCGGACTGCTTGGTCAATTCACCGCATTCAACATAGACAGCCTATCGCACTCAAACCCACTTCCTTAACACCAACTCTCCTCTAAACAACTCAATTAAACATGCGTTTCGCCTCCGCTTTCATTTCCACCGCCCTCTATGCAACGTTATTGGCAGGTGCTGAAGCGCGGCCCTATCCAACTGAAGACCTTGCTCTTAGGCAAACGGTTCGTTAACATATACTATCCGTATGTTATCTATCTCATTTCTTGTTCCAGACCAATGGCTGTGGTCAGCCCAGCGGCCAATCATGCAATTAGAATAAACAAAATCCCATCCTCC